AGAGATGAAAATATTTCTTCTGGGGCACTCCCACGTCTGGAAATGCAATCGATATGAGGAACCGACGGAGCTTGCATTTGTGAGTGGCTCAGGATCCTTTGTCAAGACTAGGGAAGGAAAAGAAAGATATCCTCCCTGGAAAGATCTGGCAAGGCAAATAAATAATGCACTCATTCTGGGCCTGGCGGCCTAATCTAGCATCTTGTCTTTTCCTTCAAAGAACATTGCACAGAACACTGGGAAAGGCCTCATCTAAGTGGGCAAACCCGCACGCTGTTGTCAATCTCGTCAATCCGAGAGTTCGTACTGATTTGCTTCAGTGACATGGACACGCTCTTCAATGGGCCAAACTTGAGTTTAGTCTAGGAAGCTGTCCAATACGAGAAAATGAGATCAAAGGTGCCTTTGAATAGAGACACATGTTTTGTGAGAGACTAACAGGGAAATCTGTTAGTTCAAAATACCTTTGGAGTCGGAATTCATCTTATCTTTGGAGGGGAAAAAAGACCCACTTAAGAAAAAAAAAGAGAGAGAGATTTAAAATACAGTTTCTTAATGTTTTAAAACAGAATGTTAAACCTCTAATGTAGATTTAAATGTCTGTGTAAGAAGAACATTCATTCTATTTTATACTATCATCATCATTAAGGATTTGACAAAACCCGTGAAAGACTAAAGTCTGTTTATTTTTAAGTTTTATGCCATAAGAGACATGATTAAAATGACAAGGTCCCAAATGACATGAACAATGCCTATTCCCCCTTATCCAGAGCAAGCGCAGTTTGCTCATCAGAAATACTTAATCCATTCCTCTTTTGGGGGGAAAGAAAAAAAAAGGAGGGATGAAAGGATTCGTGGTTAGAATTGGCATTTAATGAAAGGCACATATTTAACTTATTGTGATAAAGCAATTGCTGTATGAATTTTGAGCTCAGACAGAGGCAGTGAGTTTTGATATGAATGGAAAGCACATTGTTCTTATGTTAACACTCAAGGTTACTTCTTTGGGAGAAGTTTATGAAAAGTTACTCTGTATTGTGTTGTGAAAAGGAAGGGGCCAATGTTGGATTATCTTATTATTAGAGGTTCTCTATGTGGACATATGTATATAAATGTAAATTTGCTTGAGAAAGCACCATGTCTACATTTGTAGGGGGAAAAATTGCAAAGAATGGATTTAAAGCTTTAGAAAATACGTCTAGGGAAGCATCTGAGGTCTTCCATCAGGAAAACGCTATGGTGATGGTGAAACTAAACCAGCGCCGTTGAGAAGGAGGCTTGTGGGGGGAGATGTTGGGGGAGACTGCAATTCCTGTAACGTCTCAAGGGGGTTGTGCACTTCCCAATAGCTGGGACAAGAAAACAGCCCCCAGGGCTATAATGCTCCTGGGAAAGATGTCTGTAGAGGACATGGACCAGCATCCTCTCAAGGTTTTCTTTCCCTGGATGCTCTGTACTCTGGCCTCACTTCTCCTCACTACTGGGCACCAATGCTGTCAGGGAGTAAGACGGGGGAAACACGGAGGAAAGAGCAGAAACTCTCAGCTTGCACCCAGCTCTGCCAGCTGCATGTGATCTGACTTGGCCCATCTGGAAAGGACTCGGGATTTTCCCGTGGGAGCTCCGGCAAGGAATAAAGAACATGGACTGCCTGGTCATCCAGAGGGGCCAAGACTTTGTGAAGCTGGGTTAGACATCACCGGGATTTAAGTGACTTCTTGGCCAATTCTGACTCCTAGAGGCCCCACAGAGCAGTGCTTCTCAAAGTGGGTGATACTGCCCCCTGGGGAGGGCTGGAATGATCCAGCAGGGGAGAGGGGTGGGGGTGGGGCAGAGCAAAACCAGATACCCAAATTTGATCCTGGATGATGCTCTACAGCACCAAAATGTTTAATTGCCAGAGAGGCACTGGATCATGTTTTTCTATCAAGGGGGTGGGGCCAAAGACCCACCCCATATCCTACCCCCTTGTTTAAAGTTTCAACGCACAGATACTAATTAAGACAGTAGGATAAAGGTTTCAGAACCTTAATAGAAACCAGTCCAGATGCATTTTCCAAGCACTTCCCTGGTCTTCTGTTTAAGGTAACAGCCCACCGCCATCAAGTAGATGTCAACTTTCGGTGACGCTGTGGGTTTCCAAGGTGCCAGTCTGGACAGAAGCAGAGCGCATCAGCCTTCTACCACCGGTAGCTGCGCGCTTCAAATGGGTTAGCAGCCAAAATGTTCCACCTACTTTTCAAAATGATAGGAGACCAACCCAAACCCACACCCAGTGGCCTTGAGTCCATTCTGACTCACAGGGGACTGTCGAGGATTGAGGGGAACAGCTACCTCATCTGTCTCCCCTGGAGCTGCTAGAGGGTTTGTACCACGGCACTGTGATTACCGGTCCAAAACTTACCTGGCCTTGCTTCCATGGAGTCAGTTGCAGCTCATACTTAACCTGTGAACGACAGCATGAAAGACCGCCCGGTCCTGAACCATCTCACAATCGCTCTTATGTTGGAGCCCATCATTGTAGCCACTATGTCAGTGCATCTCGTTCCTCTGGCTCCACTTTACCAAGCAAGGTTTCCTTCTCCAGGGGCTGGCCTCCAGACAACATGCTCAAAGCACGTGAGACACAGTCTCGCCATCCTTCCTCTAACGAGCATCCTGCCTGTTCCGTTGGGGGTCCGTGGTACTTGCAATGCTCGTTGCCAGCCCCACAATTCAGTATGAAGGACAACAGTCGTACTAAGTAGCTGGAGTCCCTGGCGGTGTGGTTCACACACCTGGCTGCTAGGAGCAAGGCTGGGGGCGCAAGTCCACACAGAGGCACCCGTGAAGAAGAACCTCATGCCCTGCGTCTGACACTCTCACGGCTCGCTGTGGGTCGGAGCTGACCCGATGGTGGTGGGGTTGGTTTGGGTTTGGTATACCTAATGTGATAGCCTTAAGAAAAGGCTTGAACTCAGTTGCGTGGTAATTGTCACAAGGGAAACATCACTACTAGTTGGTTACTTGAGTTTAAGACAGCGGTTCTCAGTGGGTTGCGACCCCTTTGGGGGTTGAATGACCCTTTCACAGGGGTCCCCGATTCATAACAGTAGCAAAACGACAGCTATGAAGTAGCAACAAAAATAATTTTATGGTTGGGGGTCACCACAACACGAGGAACTGTATTGAAGGGTCGCGGCATCAGGAAGGTTGAGAACCACTGGTTTAAGATGAGGTAAATGGTCGATATGGGGAAATTTCTCCCTTCTTTCCAACAGAGAAATACCAAGACGAATGAATGTAAAGGAGCCAAGATGGAGTTGCTGCGTAACTGGTATCCCTGAACTTCACTCTGGGTATTTCCTTATTGTCGACAAAAAGAAGGGAGAGAGAAGTGGCTTCCTCTTCCTGTAGGGAGGGACAGTCTCAGAAACCCACAGGGGCAGTGCGACCCTGCCCCATCGGGTGGCTATCACTCGATGGCAGTGAGTTTAGTTTTTTGAGTTTGACAAAAAGAAAGCAAAGTAAACAGTCCAGAGCTGACTGACATTTTTCTCAAATCCAAAAAGTATAACTATTGAAGTTTTAGGGTCTAGACAATTTAAGATATTTCTCCCAAATCTTTTGTTGGAAAATAATACAAATCATTCAGCAGTATTACAACCATTCTTGACCAGTGGTTAAGAATGACGTTTTTTATGGGGGGTGAGTGGGTGTGTGATGCTACCTAGCCATTTTGAATTTAAGTTGCCATAGGATTTTCAGTGCCCTCCCCAAACAAGGCTTGTCTAGCATCTTCATTATAAAGCCTCTTTACAAAGCCACATACTTTCATAACAAACTGAACCTTCCGATGAGAAGTGAAAATCATCTCACCTAGCACTTGTAGAAATAAATGATCGCCATGAACAGACGGGCTCAGAACCTGGTCTCACCTTGCTCTTTGCGCAAATGGAAAATGCCCCTTCTTGCCAGCAGATGCGCCAGGCCGTTCAATTTCATGCTGGAAACATTGCTTTGCTTCTCGTGAATTGCTAAGGCCATTGTGTTCCACAACTGGATAGCTGTGCACAATGTGCTTGTCTAAAGGATACCTCACATTTTAAAAGATAAATGTTGAAATACACGAAGACTTTTAACCCTTCTTCTAAGTTCAGGTGCTGCCATGAGGATTTCTTTTTACTCTGGAATTGGTTTCCAATCACACCAAACCCACAGCCATCAGGTCGATGGTGACTCACAGTGACGATAGGACGGGACCGAACTGCCCCGGTGGATGTCCGAGACTGCAACTCTTTACGGAAGTAGAAAGCCCTGTCTTTCTGGATATGATTCAGTACAGGTAAAGTCGGAGCAATTCTTAGAATGCTCTTCTCTGTCTCATTTTTGAATTTGCATGCTTTTATGTCTCCTTCAAATCCAAAAAGTATAACTATTGAAGTTTTAGGGTCTAGACAATTTAAGATATTTCTCCCAAATCTTTTGTTGGAAAATAATACATATCATTCAGCAGTATTACAAGAATCTTAAGCTTCCTAAGGAAACAAAGTCCCAGGATTTTACAAGTTGTCTTTCTTTCAGGAGGAAATCACAGTTCAAAGAGATGAGAAGAAAGGAGCAGTATCTCATTCAGCACATACATGACCTGCCACAGCAAGTTCAGACCCCAGGTATCTCTCAGCAAAGAAACAGACGCTGCTGCTGCTGCTGTGAAAGGAATCATCCAAAAGACTTGGGGGGAGAGGAAGTGAATGAGTGAGGGAGAGAGCTGATAAAAATTCAAGTCAGGTGACAAAGGATTTGCACACAAGATGAATCCTCACCAGATGATATGCTTTCCCAACGTCTGGCTTTTATGGAAATTGTTGTTTTGGGGTTTTTTTGAACAAGTTGTGCAGAACGCACTCTGCGTTCTTTGAAATAACATGTTTTTGATTACCAAGGTGGAGTTACTTAGGGCCATCAAATAACGAGATTCAAAGATAAAACAGCTGAAAAATCCAACAGTCTGGTCTAACCTGGGATGCTCTGTCTCCTCACAGCCAATGATCCATCAGGCGGCTTTGTCTGGCTGGCGGACTTAGTGTAGGGACTCTCATCTGCAAAGGTACAATGAAGGGTTTGGTTAATTCCCATCCAGTTTCCAGTGCGGTGAAGATTTTCAGTGGATTGTAATCTTTTCCGTAGAAAGATACAGTAGAAAGAGTTGGTAGACCTGGATTCAAACCGGAGGTGAGTGGGGTGGGGGGCAAGTTTAGCTGTGGGGCAAGTCATTTGAAATGCTTTGAACAAATTGGTTTCCTCCTCTCTAAGAGAGGGATGGTCCTTTTGCTTCCACCCTTTAGGATTGCCAGGATCCGAGGCAATAGTGCATGTGAAAGCATTAGTGAGGTGGCAAGAAGCATACAAACATAGTATACTAGTAACTTGCCTGTCTCTGACGCTCCTTGATTAGTGACTATCAATGAGTAGGGGTAACAGAAAGGTAAAGAGGGAATACAATGGTTCAGTGGGCATGGACAATCATCAAGCAGAACAAAAGATATGGAAGGACAGGTCATATTTCAGATCTGAAGATGGCAGAGAAGAGAAGCATGCTGCAGGGAGATCAAGCCACAAGGAGTTAGTGGGTGCGTGAGCTGACAGTCAAGACAAAATGGATGAGCAGGTGCCTTCTGAGGTACAAGCAGAAAAGCTAGGTTAGAGAAGCAGGAGGCCAGAAGGTCTAGGGCTAGTAGAAGCAGATTGCAATGAGCTGATTAGGGGCCTTTTAGAAAGAGGTGCAAAGAATCGGAATCAGAGAGGAAACAAAGAAAAAGGAGCACATGAAAAGAGGGGAGGAGTTAAGCTCAGTGGATGTGGGAGGGTCAGGCAAGAAGCTGAAAGGTCAACATGTCAGCGATGAGATCACAGCAGCAATGGACCCATCAGATTCTCAACAAAGCAATTTTAACATCGTTCTTGAAATCGAGGGATAAAAACTGATCTGGTTTGGAACCCAGGTGTAATGATCTAGCATGGCAAACATGACCCATCAAACAGAAAGGAAGACTTCTTCCTGGTTTGGATGGGGGCGAGGGGTGCCTGTAGAGAGAGAGATGCCTGAGTCAGAACCTTAGAGAGGCTCAAGAACAGGTTGCCAAGAGAGCAGTCAGCCTTATGCACAGTTACCGAGCAGAGCCAGTCAAGCTTGAGGA